ATTTGATACTTATGGTTCTAGGATTGATGTTTGTATTGTTTTACTTAGCTTTTAGGTCTTTGCTGCCGAGGGACAGCATGATGCATCTGTCTAGGGCACTGTGTTGGCTCCACCCCTCCACAGGGTTTTCAATCACTGATTTTTCAGAAGTAGATCTCCAGACCTTTCTTCTGAGGTCCCTCTGGGTGGACTCCAACCTCCAACCTTTTGTTTAGCAGCTGAATGTGTTAACCATTTGTACCACCCAGGAACTCCTAGAGTCAGTCATACTTAAACTCAATCCTTGAATCTGATACTCATTTACTGGGTATTATGGATTGAATTGTGTCCGCCTCCCACCCCCAAAATATGTCTTGAAATCCTACCCCTATACCGGTAAACATGACCCTGTTTAGAAATAGAAGTTTTCTTTTGTTATGTTAATAAGGCCATACTAAAGTAGGGTGGGTCCTACACCTAATCACTTCTGAGTTATAAAAAGAGCTGAAAGGGCACAGAGACATACACAGTGAAAAGACAGACACCAAGGTGGGCCAAGGACCTCATGGGGCTACCAACAAGGAAGGACCTCCCCCTATAGCCACACCCTGAATTTGGACTTTTAGCATCCTGAACTATGAGAAGATAAATTCCTGTTCTTTAAAGCCACTCACTTGTGATATTTGGATATTTGTGTTAAGGCAGCACTAGGTAACTAAGATACTTGGTAACCTCAGGCAAGTTTCTTGATTTTTCTCTGAGCCTTAGATTCTGCACCTGTAAAATTGGAATAAATCCAAAATACCTAACTCATAGGTGTTTTGGGAAGAGTAAACGTAGCAAGGTATGTAAAGTGTTTTAGCATAAGGCTTGGCACATAATACATGCTCAGTATTATTGCTCTTGTTGTTATTATCAGTTGCTGCTTTATTAAGTCTTTGGGAGCCAAGTCTTATTTCTGACTCTCTCCTCCTTGTACATAGCTGGAGTCAGCCAGGCATCTCTGAGCAGAGATCTGGCTACTCTGGCTCTTTATGGCTGCTCCCCACCCCTTTCTGCTCACAGCTCCAAGTCCTAGTCTTGCAGAACACGAATAAAGAATATTAGAGTTCAGAAGATAATGTGCATTTTTATAAATGGCTGATTTGAATTAGCAGTTTTATAGAAAAATCATATTCTTCTTTTTGCCACTGTAATTAGAAGGTTCATGAAGCTATCTATTTGTGCTTCAGACAATGACATTTATGGAAAATGGTACACCCATAATTATTTGACCCTTGCTCCTTTTTTTCAAGGCTTTGATTTACGTTTTCATTGCTTTCATGACTGCTTTAGATGCAGTGGTGAGAATGAGCACTCAGACAGCTTCCCACACTGATGCACGTTGGTGAGCCTATTATATCACACCATGATACACAATTGTGTATAATGGTGTTGGCAGCAGGGGGGCAGGTTTGAATACTCAAGTGCCTCTCCTGTATATGTAGGAGAATTCTAACTTCCAGGCACAGCAATAATAAGCTATGTTTGTACCAGGCTTTGTAGTTGAGTAGGAGTCCCTGGGTGGCACAAATGGCTAAATGCTTGGCTGCTAACTGAACGGTTGGCCACTGGAGTCCACCCAGAGGTGCCTTGGAAGAAAGACCTGGCAATCTACTTCCCAAAAATTACCCACTGCAAACCATATGGAATACAGTTCTACTCTGACACACATGGGGTGGCTTGAGTTAGAATCAACTCGATGGTGACTGGTTTTATAGTTGAGAACAGGGCTGTCCAACAGAACTTTCTGTGATAATGGAAATAGGTCTAATACATAGCCACTTGCAGCATGCGATTCTTGAGCACTTGAAAGGCGGCTAGTGTGACTGAGGGCTTGAATTTTAAATTTTGCTTAATTTAGATTTAAATAGCCACGTAAGGCTAGTGGTTAGCACATAGAACAGCTTGGGTTAAGAAAGTACTTGCTTATTTGATCTAAATAACCCCTTTGAGAGAGGAATGGAGAAAAGGGATCATTTTATTGATGATGAAATTATGTACCAGCAAGGTGATGAGATTGTCCAAGATCACAGTGCAATGATGCTGTGCAAATGCTCACACGGGCAGGGGAAGCAGATGGTCGGCCCATCAAGTGGTTTGAAATATGTATTGCAGAGGGCACGTCCCACTTTTCCTCAAAGTAGTTCTGCAACTGGGCTACCTCAGTGGCTGGGATTTCTCAGCAGCTTGAATTAAGACTATGACAAAAAATTCTTTTTGCTCCTGGGGGCATTGACCTATTTTCCCAAACTGCCTATATTTCCATCAGTAAAAAGTAACATTATTAAATAAATGTTGTGTTCCTGCCTTTGGAAGGAAATATCTACTTTTGACTTATGAACTATTTAAACGGAGGAAAGATTATCAAAATGGAGAAATATTTGAAATGCATATGATAACAAGATGTGAAAATGTTTCATGTGTAAAAACCTTCTCTAAATTACTGTGGTCAGGTCAAGCAAGTTGCATCCTGGATACTTTGCCCTTCTCTGGAAACACCTGTTACACAGCCCCTTTCTAAGGTATATCTTACTTTTAGATCACTATGTTCTAAGCCTTTGGCTCGGAACTAGGGGTGATTTTGCTCCCCAGGGACCATGTGGCAATGCCTGGAGACAATTTTGGCTGCCACAGTTTGGGGAGAGGGTACTACTAGAATCCAGTGGGTAGAGGCCAGAGATGCTATTAAGTATCCTGCAACGCAAAGGACAGCCCCAACAACGAATAATTATCTGGCCAAAAATGCCAACAGTGCTGAGGCTGAGAAACCCTGCTGTAAGGCCTTGCTACTCATACTGTGGTCCATGGACTAGCACTCCAGGCATCACTTGGTAACTTGTTAAAATCATAGGACCTCAGACCTCACCCCAGATCTACTGAATCAGAATCTGCATTTTAACAAGATACTTGGATGATCTGTGTGTTCTTTAAAGTTTGAGAAGACCTGGTCTGTAGCATAGCGAGCCCTCGTGGCACAATGGTTAAAGCGCTCAGCTGCTAACCAAAATGTCGGTGGTTCAAACTCACCTGCTGCTCCATGGGAGAAAGATGTGGCAGTCTGCTTCCATAAAAATTTATAGCCTTGGAACGCTATGGGGCAGTTCTACTCTGCCCTGTATGGTAGCTATGAGTCAGAACTGACTGTGGCAGTGGGTTTGGGCTTGGGTTTGGGTCTATAACATGAGCCCTGTACCCTAGTGTCTTAGTTATCTAGTGCTGCTATAACAGAAATACCACAGTGGATGACTTTAACAATGAGAAATTTATTCTGTCACAGTCTAGGAGGCTAGAAGTCCAAATTCAGGATGCCAACTCCAGGGGAAGGCTTTCTTTCTCTGTTGGCTCTGGGGGAAGGTCCTTGTCATCAATCTTTCCTGATCAAGGAGCTTCTCAGCTCCAACGGATGGGCTATTCTCCTGGCTCTTGTTTCTTCATGGCATGAGGTCCCCGTATCTCTCTGCTTGCTTCTCTCTCTTATATCTCAAAAGAGATTGACTTAAGACACAATCTAATCTTGTAGATTGAGTCCTACCTCATTAACATAACTGCCACTAATCCCACCTCATTAACATCACAGAGGTAGGATTTACAACCCATAGGAAAATCACATCAAATGACAAAATGGTGGGCAATGACACAACACTGGGAATCATGGCCTAGCCAAGTTTACAGATATTTTGGGGGGGACACAATTCAATCCATGATACCTGGTCACAACTGATTGCTTTGGGGCAGGCCATCTTTAGGCTGAGTGGCAAGTGGATCTAGTGTCCCCAACAGGGATACTAATGATTAAAGAAAATAACTAGTCCTCCTTCTCTCTTGGAGAGTTTGGATGCAAAGCACACAGAGAAAGCTAGTCGTTGCTAGTGAGGTGAGAGAAGTAAGTAGCATGAGACAGCTCGAGCTATATGTAGCCAAAGTCACGAGGTGGAGAAAAGCTGGTCGTATCAGACAGACAGTACCTGAGTCACAGTGATGGTGCTGCGTGGGACCAGGATTACGAGAACCTACAGCTGAGGAGAGGACATTTAATTGAGTCATTCTAGTTACCTTGAGCTTTGAACCATCTTTTAATTTCTTTTCTTCAATAAGTCCCAGCTCTTTGGCTGTTCCTTCTTACCCCATCACCAGAGGTAACCTGCTTCTTTGGAACCTGAGAGGGCCTAATTAATAATTAATACAGGAATTAGTGAGAAGAAGACGAACACTCCAATAGAAAAAAAAGTGGGGGGAGGCAGAGGGAGGATAAGAAACAACATTCAAAAGTTCAAAAGTGTTCTTATACGCTGTTGTTGTTGGTTGTTGTCGAGTAAGTTCTGACTCATGGCGACCTCATGTGTGCAGAGTAGAACTGCGCTCCATAGGGCTTTCAAGGAAAACCTTCTAGAAGCAAATCACCAGGCCTGTCTTCCAAGGAGCCTCAGGGTGGGTTTGAACTGCCAACCTTTGGGCTAGTAGTTGACTGTTTAACCATTTGTGCCACCCAGGGGCTCCTGTTTTTATATACTAGGAGTAACCAATTAGAGAATGTCAGGCTTTCTATATGAAGAAAGCTTTAAAACTGTCTTGAAGGACGTAAAGGAAGACCTCAATAAACAGACATAACAATTTCTGGTGGGAAGTTTCAATACTGTTAATAGGTCAGTTCTACCCAAATTAATCTAGTAATACAAAGAAATTCCATCAAGAAACTTCAGGATTTTTCATGGACTTTTTCAAACAGAAGAAAAAAATGCATCTGGAATAGGAAATGGAGTAGGATAGCCTAGAATAAAAATTATTATTATTATTTTTAAAAAGAATGCTTTTAATCAAGAGACAAGAAAGCTATCCACTAGACCCCTCCCCAAATACAGTTAATAGTCCAGCTGCTGCTACACCAACTGTTGAGAGCTTCACTCATTTACTCATCCCTTTAAGCCCATGATTATCCCCGGGGTTAAGGAAGCAAATTCAGTGAATTCAATCTTGTTTGAACCTGTCTAAATCTAGCCCATGTGCTACAAGCACTGAGGTCAGTTTCAATGTTCCTTTTTCTCCTTTATGACCACCCAGACTAGCGTTCAGATCTGATGGGAAACGGAACTGCAGGGTATATTATTATTTTTTAAATCAGGAATCAGGAGTGCCATAATTACCTAGTATTGCCATAAAAGAAATACCACAAGTGAGTGACTTTAAAGAACATAAATTTATTTTCTCACAGTTCAGGAGGCTGGAAGTCTGAATTCAGGCCATGACTCTAAGGTGAGGTCCTTGTCTATTTCACCTTCTGGTAGCTGCCAGCAATCCTTTATAACTCAGAAGTGATTAGGTTCAGGATCCACCCCACTCTGGTATGACCTCATTAACGTAACAAAACCCTGTTTCCCAACAAAGTCATATTTATAAATTATCCTCCCCCTCAGCCCCCCACCCCCCGCTGTCGAGCCGATTCCGACTCATAGCGACCCTATAGAACAGAGTAGAACTGCCTCATAGGGTTTCCAAGGAGCAGCCAGTGGATTTGAACTGCTGACCTTTTGGTTAGCAGCCAAGCTCTTAATCACCTTGCCATCAACACATATTTGTGGGGGGGGGCATAATTCATTCTAAAACGGGGATACATAACAAAGTTATAATAATTAAACAATATGGTATTGATGTATAAATAGCTTGAGGGATAAATGAAACAGAACAGAAAGTCCAGAATTCAGTGTGGTAGCAGCAGCCGATCAGGTCCATGGGAAAAGATGAATGTTCAGCCCTGCACTGTGTCTTACAGGAAGAAATTAGAAACAAATGTCCCACAATAGGAAATTAGTGAAATATAATTGAAAACAATGCACCACAAAAATGACAAAATGAACATGTATATTTATTGATGTAGAGAGATGTTCATGATACATCATTAAATGAAAATAAAAAATACAGGTTACAAAACAGTAAGTTTAATGAGTCACATTTCTTAAATACATACATACATGTACATTTATATTTACAAAATTCCCAAAAGCAGATTTCAATCCTGCCCCATTTTTTTAAAAGCAGTGTTGATGAGGTACTAATCATATAATCAGTAGCTCCAGGCCCTCCACTTGGTTGGATGCAGAATTAAGCCATACCTTCTAATCTTGTTTCAGTGGCCTGGCTGTGATGGCTGGGCTCCCACATGGCTGCCTGTCTTAGGCTGAGTTCTCTAGAGAAGCAAAACCAGTAAAGAGAGATTTATATCAAGGAAACGGCTCACGCAGTTGCAGAGGCTGTAATGTCCCAAGTCCGTGGGTCAGGATAGAGGCTGCTCCTGACTGATGTAGCTGCAGGGGCTGGAAAACCCAAGATCAACAGGTTAGGGAGCAGGGCTGTTGCTCACAGGCTGTGAAGATCAACGAATCCCAAGATTGGCAGGCAAGACTGCAGGTAAGCTGCTCATTCAAGTCCCAAGAACCGGAGGTCAGACAAACATGAGTCAGCTGCAGGATCCAGAAAGAGCAAAAGCCCGCAGCCCTGCCAGAACATCAGCACACACTCAATGCAGGCCATAGGCCCAAGGAAACTCCCCTTCAACCGACTGACTACTCACAGTAGATACTATCATGGGGGTGATCACATATCAAGTCTCAATATGGAAGTGATCACAATATCATACGACTGCCAAAACACTAGGAATCATGGTCCATCCAAGTTAACACACAGTCTTAACCATCACACTCCCCAGTCATGTGGCTGACCACATTCACAACGACATGGCTTCAGGGAAAAGTCCTATGGGTCTAGTTTCCCTAAGTCAGAACTCCTCCCTAGACCTCCCTTCTTCCTTTCCTCCATCATGGTAGTTTCTCCCCCTCCACCCTCTGTTAGGTCTAGCACTAATAGGTCAGAGAAGTATCACATTTAAATAGATTCCACTAACATTCAAACCACCATCCACCTGTTGGTTTGTCATACTGTGGTGGTTTGCGTGTGGCTATGATGCTGGAAGCTATGTCACTGGTATTTCAAATACCACCAGGATCACCCATGATGGACAGGTTTCAGAAGAGCTTCTACTTGGAAGAAAGGCCTGGCTCCTTCTGAAAATTTATCAGTGAAAGTCTATGACTCACAGCAGAAAATTTTCTGACATAGTGCTAGAAGATGAACCCCCTAGGTTGGAAGGCACTCAAAATAGACAGTGGCTGCAATAACGGAGCACACCAATGGTCATAAAGATGGCGCAGGACTGGACAATGCTTATTTCTGTTCTATGTGGGGTTGTTATGAGTCAAAGCCGACTAGATGGCAATTAACAACAACAGCAATGGCAAAATTCTAACAGCAATGGAATGATTCTATCTGAAAAACTCAACAAAGGCAATAGGGGGAGAAATATTAATGACAGAAGCTTTGAATCCACATCCCTGACACTTAAGTGGGAATTCCAGAAAAATCTTCCAAACCTAAGCACATTGTTCACCCTTTTCATCCTCCCCCAATATTTCTGGAATTGAGAGTGGGGTAACTGCATAGTTTGAATGCTGTGTTTGGCACTTCCAGACTTGCATTCAGAACCAGCCTCCACCTAGGCCAATTCTCCCCATTGCTATCTCACTCTAGTGTATCCACATCATGACAGTCTACCAGGACACATCACCTCTCTGCCTGCCTACCTCTAGACCCCTTCCTGCCTCAAAGTTTCAGGGAAATGAGATTAGGGACCCAAGGAGGTGGGGCCCTGTTGTCATTGGATAGATTCTAGAACAAGTCTGTAAATTCCCCCAGCTTGGTGGCTGAGGGAGCAGGAATTAAGTGGCAGAGAAGGAGCTAAATTACCACCTATTGCTTCAGCCATATAATTGGGTTAATAATTAAAACATAACTAGCAGGGGCCTCATCCACAAGGAGTCATTATGTGTCTCTTTTTCAGACCATTGTCGCAAAATATGAAAACTACATCTTTTAAGGTGATTGTTCTCAGAACTGCTAAGCAACAGCTTTAATTGTCACCCAGTTTGTAAGAACATGCAATTAATTATTGTATCTCCTACCTAGACTATTAGGTATGTGAAAAAGTCACCAAGATCTGTTCTACCCACGTGAAACTGAATCAGACAGATGATCACTGAGGTGGGGTTCACTCTGGGTGAATACTTCAGAATTTGTCTGCTTCCTCCTTGAACCAGCCTCTGTTAGAATGCACAATTCCATAATGAGAAACAATGACTCTTCTAAGTAGGAAATTTCCTCTTTCTTCCCATATGACTGCTGATATAACTGTACAGTTTCTGAACAAGTCCGGGTTTAGTAGTTTAGTTAGTGACAGGTATTTGCCTCACAGAACAGTTTGGGGACGATTTAAGGGTGAAGATATAAAACCAAACTCTAGATTTGGGAATAAAGAGACTGGAGTTTTAATGTCAGTTCTGCCATTGACTGATAGGCCATTATTCAAACCTTATCTCATTAAACCTCAGTTTTTTATCTGTGAAATAGGTAGGACTGGATGTAGTGAGTTTGAGGGGGTTCAGGGTTGACCAGAGAAAAAGATATGACCATGAGGTAGCAGCATTACACAACAAGTTATTTATTGGAGCCAACGCATTGACAGCCAAATGTCAGGGGTGGTCCCCAGCAAGGAGTCTTCCAGAGACAAGTCATTCAGGAAGCCCCCAAAAGGGGACGAGAGCAAGAAGAAGCTGGGAAGAGGGGAGAGAAGGGGCCTTTCTTGTGCCTATGTGATGTCCTTTTGCAGCAAAGTGGGGAGTCTCTGGGTCAGAGAGCTTTGAGGAACACGGCAGCTGGGGTCCTTATAACTACAGGGTTTTAGCTCATCTCTGGCTAGCAGACGCTGGGTGCAGTTTTGCAGGGTATGTAAAGCAGGCGGGCTCTAAGTGGCTAAAAAATCACTTATTTGGGCTATTTTAAAGTAATTGGATGTGTACAAATTTGAGTTTTGTGCCAGTGAGTTTTTTTGGGCTAATGGGCCTCAGGTTGAGATGAAGAAATAAACAACCTGGGATTAATACACAGGGCCGTCTTTGGCTCATTTATATAACACTGTGATAGCCCTCTTAGGGACCCTGTAAAACAGAGTAGAACTTCCCCATAGAGTTTCCAAGGAGCACCTGGTGGATTCAAACTGCTGACCTTTTGGTTAGCAGCCATAGCACTTAACCACTATGCCACCAGGGTTTCCACTATGAGCCAGAATCGCCTTGACAGCAACGGGTTTGGTTTTTTGCTTTTTTAAGTGATACCCCAGGAATCCCCGGGTGGTACAAATCTTTAGGAGCTCAGCTATTAACCAAAAGGTTGGTAGTTTGAATCTATCCAGGAAAAAAGCCCTGGTAATCTATTGTCAAAAGATCACAGCCATTGAAAACCCTGTGGAGCACAGTTCTACTCTGAAATACGTGGAGTTACCATGAATTGGAATTGACTCACAGTAACTGGTTTGGGTTTTTTGGTGACAGCCTAAGCTGGTATGACTTGGGCTACTGCTCAGAGCTGTTGCTGTTGTTGTTAGGTGTCGTCGAGTTGGTTCTGACTCATAGCGACCCTATGTACAACAGAACGAAAACACTGACCGGTCCTTTGCCATCCTCACAGTAGTTGCTATGCTTGAGCCCATTGTTGCAGCCACTGTGTCAATCCATCTCATTGAGGGTCTTCCTCTTTTTCACTAACTCTCTGCTTACCAAGCATGATGTACTTCTCCAGAGTCTGGTCACTCCTGATAATGTGTCCAAAGAATGTGAGACACAGTCTTGCCATCCTTGCTTCTAAGGAACATTCTGGCTGTACCTTCTTCCACGACAGATTTGTTCATTATTTAGGCAGTCCATGGTATATTTAATATTCTTCACTAATGCCATAATTCAAAGGCATCAATTCTTCTTTGGGCTTCCTTATTCAATGTCCAAGTTTCACATGCATATGAAGCTATTGAAAACACCATGGCTTGGGTCAGGTGTACCTTAGTCCTTAAAGTGTCATCTTTGCTTTTTAACACTTTAAAGGAGTCTTTTGCAGCAGATTTGCCCAAGGCAATGCATTTTTCGATTTCTTGACTACTGCTTTCATGGATGTTGATTGTGGATCCAAGTAATAGGAAATCCTTAACAACTTCAATCGTT